ATGGTGTGGTAGGGAGGGCAGGAGCCCAGGGAGGCCTCAGAGGTCTTTGGCCCTGCACAGGGCTAGTAGGGCTGACCGGCAGTCCCCTTTCACTGCTTCCTGGAGAGAAGAGTAGAGGGACTTGCCAAATTTCTTTTTGAACTCAGCTCTGATGCTTAGAAGGTCAGTCTCACTTCAAGAGATAAGGATACGCATTAGGACTTGGTAATTGGGCTTGAGGTTCTGGAGGGCTTGATGAAGTTTATCGGCAAAGTACAGCGGTGTGTTCCTGATCACCGAGACTAGGCTGAGCAGGGCCGCCTGAGCATCTCCGTGGAAGAGGTGGTGGACGGTCTTCTCTAGCTCGTGGCCAGTACACCGCTGGTACTGATCGAACACTCGGACGAGGTGTTCAGGATTTCGCTGGGTGAAGATTAGGACCCATGTGCCCTCTGTGCTGGGCCCTTCAGCCTGCTTTAATGCCTGGACATCCTGTTCCACCAGGTTATAGTCGATGATTCCAGAGTAGCTCTCGCGACCCCCCTTGGCCAGGGCCAGGAGCAGTTCCTGCAAGATGCCGCTGGTCTCAGATTTGATGTCCTTCTCAGCCTCCACCTGGAAATTATGTTTGTAGACCATCAGGCACTCCTGCAGCTGGGCTGGGCTTCGGGTGGCAAGAATTTCCACAGCCACATCCTCAGGAGAACCAGAGCTCTGTTGGGTGCGCTCCTGGAAGGCTCGAGAGATGAGCTGCCTTTGCTCTCTGTTCCTGTTGGTCAGTACACCCACGATGGCACTGTGGTCCACACCTTGGCCTGCAATGGCCCTCAGCAGCCTTTGCACGTCTTTGTCCAAGCTGAAGCTCAAGAAGATCCTGAGGGTGCCCAGGGTTCCCCAAGCTGCAGTCTTGTTGGCCAGGCCCAGGTGGCTGAGGATCTCCTGGGTCAGGGATGGTCTTGTCTTCCCGCTGGTTACAGACATGGTATGACTGGCCAGAGGTGCTGGGGGTGAGGTGGCCGCTGTCACAGCCTGGCAGCTGCGGGTGTCAAAGAAGTGGCTTTTAATTGACTTTTGGATTATGGATCCCTTTGAGACTCTGATAAAAGCTGTAGGTCCTCTGCGCAGACACCCACATCTGTCACATGATTTTTCGGAGTCTGCTTTAACCCTAAACAGGTTAAAGTAAAATAAAATAGAATAAAATAGCAAAATCCTTCTGAACAGGCCCCAAACACTCTCTAGAAAAGAAAACCAAGGTCCAGAGAATAAGTAG